ATCAGGGCTGATCCTTCGTAATTAGCATGATTTTAATTGTTTTGTATTTATCAAGAGTGCACATTAGGAGACTGACTTTCTTTAACAATTTTATATAATAAGTCATCGAGGAATTATGGCGTGTTTGTTTCAGTACCTGGGTTAGTGTTGGTGTCAAGTGTCCGCAACTGAATTGATGGGTCTTAAGTCAGCTTACCAACTCACACACCTTAATTACGTCCACACGCCCGAGGTGAAGACGAGATTATACGTGGCAGATCCCCCATCCCCGTGTCGTGGTCGCCAACAAATGTGTCACTGCTTCATTCGATCATACTTCAGTAGCCTCTTACCTAACTACTACGCTTTCACCGGGTACATCATCCAAGTTCTTCCGCAGTTAACACAAACGAACCAAGTGCACAAAAATGTCACATTCCAGAGAGTAACATCATTGAGCACTTCACCTGAGGTTCGTTTTCTCCGGGTGACTCGTTTAAAAGTACGTTATCGCGAGCAGTTTCTGAATTTATTTGCCTTTGCCACAATGTATGCGGCAATGTCTCCCAGAACCAAGAGTCATCCCTAAATGTGTTCTCCGTCGTAAAAGCTTCACTTTCCTCTTCACCAGCGTCTAGGGGCAGGAGAAAGGCTGGTGGCCACAAGTGGAGTGGAGTGCGGTTTGCTCTCTCTCTCTCTCTCTCTCTCTCTCTCTCTCTCTCTCTCTCTCTCAGGCTACAGTAAATTTATTAATAAAATACTGAAACTAAAGATGTATTCGTAAATCAACCCATTTCATCACCTACGACTTACAATTTACACGTTAAATATCCTGACCACATGACTTACCAACAGTACCAAAACACTGCTAACCTGTGTTACTTGTCGCCCATGGCAGCTTTCATTAAATATCTCCCAATAACACAAGGGTATTCAGCGACGCTTTCATACAGGAGAAATTTAACTCGCTGAAAGAATATTACTGAAACGAACTAATTATTTCCTAAGCGAAAACATTTATGCAAAACAAATTATAAACTAGATTGGTCGATATTAACCAGAGAATGCAATGTGTCCTTACTGTCTAACGCATAAGACGGCAGACGACCCAAATACATCTTAGTAGTTTATGAAGATTGCCACAGAACCTCTCATCGTAAAGTGGCATCCAAATCAAACAAAATATGAGGATATAAGAAAAAACTAATCTACCTACGCTGCGTGACCTCTAACCCGCGGCGAATAAAAGGAATAATTAATGACTCGATTTGCCTGCTGGAGTGAGGGGGAACTTGATGCACTATATCTTGTATGCTAATTCCCGTTGACACTGGATGAAATATAATGGAAAATAAGAGCCTAAACCTTCATTATGCGATGTTATTTTGTATATGGTAATTAAAACTAACAAGAGGAACGTATTTCAAATCAGTAATCTCTATCGTGTGAAGCCTGGGCAAAGTATCACTGGGAAAAAGGTTCTATTTTACCTTGAATGGTCAGAGTACCAGAGAACTGTGGAGACGAAAATAAGAGCTTTTGAAGAGTTTGACCTTTGACCCCATAAAAATTAAATGACCACACACACACACACACACACACACACACACACAGGAATTAAGGCACACTGGATCACCTAAAAACATTCGATAAATTTTAGGGTAGTCCAACCTAAATGACAAATAACAGTTATTACACAATCAGTCACAGCAATAACAGTGTCTCTCCTCCTATGGTGATTAACATAAGGAAAACCATGAGTGATTGGGTTAAAACTTGGCCAGGGGGAGAGTTATACACCTTGGTTAATTAATTAGCGAAGGTGGATCACACGTAGGACTGAATCCCTTTAAAACAGTTTCGTAATTTTAAATGAAGAAAAATTAACTCAAAGGGGACCAACTCAAATTGATATGTAACTCCCTAATTTTATATTGATGATGTTTAAGCGTAGTACTAACCTACATACGCGCTTAAAGACCTCTGTAGTTGTTTGAGCGCAGTGATACATTACAACATCAATATCAACACCAATTTCAATACGATAATAGGCGTCATAAATGTCGGTCGATGAACCACAAGTCAGAAGGTATATGGCCAAAATTCTGACCAATGAACTCCCGAAATAATCAAAATTCTGACCAATGAACCACCGAAATAATCAAAATTCTGACCAATGAACCACCGAAATAATCAAAATTCTGACCAATGAACCACCGAAATAATCAAAATTCTGACCAATGAACTACCGAAATAATCAAAATTCTGACCAATGAACCACCGAAATAATCAAAATTCTGACCAATGAACCACCGAAGTAATCAAAATTCTGACCAATGAACCGTCGGAAAAGCCATAACCCAACTTTCAACCAATGAACTGCCGGAATATAAAACCGTAACCCAAATTCGAACCTCTGAACCGTTGGAATATGAACCATAACCGCTGACCATTATTTTCATAACCATGGCACAAAGAAAGAGCCCCGCTTTTATCCGTTAAACCAATGTATATTAAACCACTGTATGTTAGACCTCTGAATGAACGGGTTATGACCGTTTCGTTTCAAGTCGACTGAAAGGTAGGTACCAGAAATACGTATATTTCATTATAAGCTAATGTGTAACAGCAGTTCTCCACCAACAAAGGAAGCTCTTCTATTCGATACCAAGTTTTTATATCCTGGCTGGAAACGAAAGCAAGCAAGCAACACACCCACACGTACCAGGAAAAACACAAAGCGCAGAGAAATATTACAGAAGTGTTGCTATCAGCTCTAAATCGCCTCGCCCCTTGGAATACTAACTCCCTTTACTGTCTTTCATTAAGACTTTTCATCATTTTAGACTTTCACGCACACACCACAATTAAATAAATGAATATAAAAAAAAATACAGATTCCAAATAAGAAATTTAGGATTTTATGAACGTCCCTATATTTCCAACGTCCAATGGTGGAAACTTTACTGAATCGGCCTGTAGAGAGAAGTGGTTTAGGTTAGGTTAGGTTAGGAAGTGTATGTCAGTTTTATGTAGTAGATTCCCCTTACTTTCAAGAGAGTTATAAACTGTATTGAACGACTTGACAAATTTAGCCCACACATCTGGCAGAGAAATTTAGCAAATTATTTGAATCCAAATTTATGCCCAAGAATACAATCACCAGTATGCAAGAACAAGAAAATGAAAATAAATATGTTTTACAGGTGAGCCATAAAGCCTTCAAAGGACACAGATCACCTCTTACACAAACTGTTCCGAACTTAAATCATCGTTTCGTACACACATTCAGGTCAATTGTAACTAAAATAACCACAACAATACAAATAAACTGCTAGAACATAAAATCCTGACCTTGTATACACAGCTAGTCACATCTATACGAAATGACCCCGTACACGAGAGAGATCAGAACATCATTAAAATACCCAGATCATGCAGTCTTAGCATTACAATACAAGAAGTAGCTATCAGGTGGTATGTGTGGTAGTGCAATCCGGGACGAATACGACGTAGTAAAGACCTAGAGACATAAACACGCCCGAGAAGGTGAACGTGGACACTGGATATCGCCACATGACACAGCGTATCCCCGCGACCCTGCAAAACATGGAAACGCACCTTCTACTGAGCAACTGCAGTGTCAGGGAAGGGATGAAAGTTGATATTATATTCATACAATCAAGTTGTCAATCTTGTTTACTGTATTTTTTTCTTTAACATAAGCTGAGTTTGGTGTAATCCTGTATAGTATTTTCACGAAGTATCAAAGGGAATCTTTTTCACGGAGATTATAATTTTAGGGTCATACTTTCCATACAGACCAGAGTATATAACTATAATATAACCAGTGATATTGAGGCAGCGAATAACAATACTTCAAATGAGCAAAATAACTGAGGTTTGTATGAGAGAGAGAGAGAGAGAGAGAGAGAGAGAGAGAGAGAGAGAGAGAGAGAGAGAGAGAGAGAGAGAGACGCTACTTTTGATTCACCAAGAACTTTTTGAGTAATACCTCAAAAATTGTCTTTACCGTCTTCCCACAACACAAAAAAGATTAATGGAAAAAAAAATATTAATAATTTTACGAGATTTGTTCTTGTTTTACGTTTTAGAGATATTGTTTTTAATTACAATTACTTCGATACATCTAAATTATTACTGTAGAGAAAAAAAAAGAATTGATAAAACTTACAATGTATAGATACTGAGGAAACTATAAGTCCATTCTTATATGTAACCCTCTGAGTACAATGATTTAATCCCTTGAGTACAATGATTTAATCCCTTGAGTACAATAATTTAATCCCTTGAGTACAATGTCACTGTATAAGAATTAGGTCATCTTATTCAAAGTGTTAGCAAATTATACTTGAGGCTCTAAAGACAATGTACTCGAGGGCTGGCAGGCATTGTCCTCTAGAGATTAAGCTCTTACTGGACTAACTCATTGTACACTGAGGTGAAATAACTCCTTATGGGAAATGTGGACTGATGAAATATCTCGTATATATCGTGTATAGTTGTTAGTAGTAGTAGTAGTAGTAGTAGTAGTGATCAAACCACCATAAGGGTAATGTGTATTTACTCTCTTCTTATAGAGATACATACATACATACGAACAGACATACGTGGACACAGAAAAACACAGACAGATACACAATAGGGCAGAGAAAGACAGATATACATAGACAGATGGACACAGACAGACAGGTATACACATACACAAGGACAAAGAAATATAACAGAAGAGCAGATACAGACAAATTACTCATACACAGAAAGACAAGACATCCTTGGACAGCCCCACACACACACACACACACACACACACACGTCGCTTTCATTACTGAAGCTTATAATTTGTAAATCTAGTACAACAAGTCTCTTCCAATACGCAGAAACGTGAAACAAACGCAGTGTAACGTTAGGGGGGAGGAGGAGGAGGGATGGGGAGAGTGGGGAGGCTAACGTGAAAGAGGGAGAGTTGAAGGTGTATATAAGGCAGCGGACAACCGGAGCAGACACGACACTCCATCCACCATGAAGCTCCTGGTGAGTCCCGTGCCTTCTTGATCCAGCTGTATTTATCTCATACCATTATTTACAAAAGTTGTTATGTTAGTGAGATTTAGCTTCTCTAATCCCTAAAGATATAAATATTTTAGATTTGTATCCTTGGAAAGTTTCAAAAGGTATAAATATTTTAAATTTGTATATAAACGTAATCAAAGCCTCAGTAAGGTCTTTGGAATTTGCTTTTTTGATGATTTTATTACTTATGTCATCGTAAAAATATCTGATTTACTCATTACTTCTTCACCAAAATGACAAAGTGAACTTGAATCTAAGCCGCATCAAGCCTTACATAGAAACAAATACTCATTAATCTAATCCGTGAAAGAATAATAAATCCCAACTTAAGTTTATCGCTTAAAACACAATTGTAATCGTTTGTTCATCGACCCCCCACTGCTTAACACGAATTAATTTAACGAGTTACAGTAGGTGAGCCGCCGACCCCCTCATCCCCCAGACAATTTAAATCTTCTTTGGTTCTTCAATTCAAACATTAAGTAAATAAAATTAAACTATTTCAGTCTCGTAAAATAAAATAAAAAATCCTGCAGAGACACTACCCAAGATTTTTTTAACATTTATTATAGTAATTAACATACGGACTCACCTGATCCAAACAACAATATGAGATCACACACACACACACACACACACACACACACACACACACACAAACACACACACACACACACAATGTATACAGTATATATATCTTGTAACTCTTCTTTTACGACCAGTGACTTTCCCGTAACCACCGGGACTTCCAACGAGTAGCCTAAACCTGTATAATATATATGTGTGGTGTACATCGACCTCTCCTACAATGATTCATACCATTCATTATTCACTGGGAAGCTCGATGTTGAGTTACACGAGATGTCATAAACACATAATGACTCCTACAAGCACCACCTGCTGATTCCCAGTCCTACATTCTATCTCACAAGGTGGATGGATATTTTACCTTGAACTGTTACTGAATCAAAATATACAGCGAGATCATAAGCCTGGGTTTAAGTTACGTTTGATTAGTTTCATAAGTCAACAACTAAATAGCGTCTCTGGATCTTTATAGCCAATTCACGGCAAATTAACTAAATATATAAATCTGGTTATGTCAGTGTAACTCCTGATAAATGCAGTCCATGACGGCTATATTGTGTAATCCTCTCGGTCAAATAATACTTAACGATGACCTTCCTTAATTGCGACCAAAGAGTTTACACTATCAAGACGTCAGAGGATTGTAAATGTTTGTTCAAAAGGCAGTAAAAAAAAGTTACGATACTATTATATTTATGGACATAACGATGCTAACATACAATGCAAAAACTTATGCCACAGTCAAGTTTATGTTAATGGTAAGGAACTTTAAGATGGTGAAATATATACTGTGAATGACCAAGTACTCTGATCTAACTTTCATAGTGTGTGTGTGTGTATGTGTGTGTGTGTGTGTGTGTGATTTCAAATTTATTCCACCATATATTTATATCTCCTTAACGTGTATAACTTGTACTGCAGGTACTACTCACAACCCTCGTGGCGGCGAAGTCTGACAAACTTCCGAGCTACAACTTGCCTGCGCCCTCTGGCCCAAATGGTCCTGAAGGTAGCTGCAGAAACGGCGAAATTCGCCATGTGGACGGCACCTGTGTAGTTCCTAAAGTTACACGAAACTTGTTTGTGTATAACGCCCCTGAACAGCCTACCGAGTCTTACGGACCACCACCAGACATCCCTCCCCCTCAGGTGTCCCACAACATCTTGTTCATCCGCACTCCTGAAGGAGGCCAGGGACCTGAGCCCATCATCGTGCCGCCGCCCAGGCAGCAACACGTAGTGTACGTCCTCAACAAACAGTCAGAACAGAGTCAGCGAGTCATCGAGGTTCCTGCTCCACCGTCCGAGAACCCTGAGGTGTACTTCGTCAACTATGGTGAAGGAGATAACCCGACCCTGCCTGGTGGTATAGACTTCCAGACCGCCCTCAACTCTGCAATCCAAGGTGATGGTCAGGTCATCGGCGGCGCTGGAGGACTTGGTGCAGGAAGCGGAGTTGGTGGTGGCAGCTTGGGTGGTAGTGATGGATTTAGTGGGATCGGCGTCGGTGGCAATGGGGGCATAGGGGGTCGAGTTGAAGGCAGCAACGTTGGTTTTGGAGGCAATGGTTTAGGACATGGAAGTAGCGTCGGAGGCACTAGTGGTGGGGGTTACGGAGGTAGCGGTGGAGTTGGAGTCAACGTTGGAAGCAGCAGTAGTGGATTTGGAGGTAATGGTGGAGGCATCAGTGGTGGGTTTGGAGGTAATGTTGGAGGCAACAATGGTGGCTTTGGAGGCAACTTTGGAGGCAGTAGTGGATTTGGAGGCAACGTTGGGGGCAGCAGTGGTGGTTATGCAGCTAACGGTGGCAGCAGCAGTGGCGGATCTGGAGGTAATGTTGGAGGAATCAGTGGTGGGTTTGGAGGTAATGTTGGAGGCATCAGTGGTGGGTTTGGAGGGAACACTGGAGGCAGTCCAAGTAGTTCTGAACATGGCAGCGAAGGTTATGATGACAATAGTGGAGAAAGTAGCGGAAGTTTTGGAGGTAATGCTGGAGGTATCAGTAGCAGCCTTGGAGGTAGTGTTGCTGGTAGCAGAGGCAGTTACGGAAGAAATGGTGGAAGGACAAGTGGTAGTTTTGGAGGTCAAGTTGGAAGCACCAGTGTTGGTTTTGGAGGTAACGGAGTTAGCAGTGGTGGATTTGGAGGTAACGGAGTTAGCAGTGGTGGATTTGGCGGTAACAATGGAGGCAGCAATGGTGGATTTAGAGGTAACGGAGTTAGCAGCGGTGGTTACAATGGTAACGCTGGAAGCAACAGTGGTGGATTTGGAGGTAACGGAGTTAGCAGTGGTGGATTTGGCGGTAACAATGGAGGCAGCAATGGTGGATTTGGAGGTAGCGGAGTTAGCAGCGGTGGATTTGGAGGTAACGGAGTTAGCAACAGTGGATTTGGAGGTAACAATGGAGGCAGCAATGGTGGATTTGGAGGTAGCGGAGTTAGCAGCGGTGGTTACAATGGTAACGCTGGAAGCAACAGTGGTGGATTTGGAAGTAACGGAGTTAGCAGCGGTGGATTTGGAGGTAACGGAGTTAGCAGCAGTGGATTTGGAGGTAACAATGGAGGCAGCAATGGTGGATTTGGAGGTAGCGGAGTTAGCAGCGGTGGTTACAATGGTAACGCTGGAAGCAACAGTGGTGGATTTGGAGGTAACGGAGTTAGCAGCGGTGGATTTGGAGGTAACGGAGTTAGCAGCAGTGGATTTGGAGGTAACAATGGAGGCAGCAATGGTGGTTACAGAGGCAACACTGGAGGAAGCAGTGGAGGCAACGGCGGATTTATCATCGTCAAAGGAGTCAAAAATGGTCTTGATGGGGTCGTTGGAGGTAATGGTTTTGGTGGCAACGCTGGTGGTGGGAGTGCTAGTGATGCCAAGCTTGGCGGCGGCGTCGGGTCTGCTGCCGTTGTGGCCACTCCAGGTCGCGAGTACAATCCTCCCTCGAACGTTAACACCCCTTCTGGCCAGTAAGCAACACCCTAAACAAGACACGCCCGCCCCCGGCTACGTCCTGGACCTAGACGAACGAACAGTACTAATTAACCTCAGGAAAACTTTTGTTACTCCTGGATCTGTGACTTAAAAGTGAGATTAGAATAGTTTTGGTAAATTAGTTTATACTTTTAAGTAACGCAATGTATCCTTTAATATTAACATTAGTAACATTGGTATGTTTTGTACTCTATTCTTGATATAAAAATAAATATATATATACACCTTATGTCTAATTCCTTATTTTCCTTGATGGATGTTGAGTTACACAACTTTTTAATAATGATTTCACGAATAAAACAATGAACTTAACAACATTTACCTACAGTAGTCACACTGATTTGGCAACTCACTTTATATGTAATCTTTTCTGCTCTTACTACATGAACGACATCTATTTTGGCTCAGTATTATTTATTGAACAGAATATAATCAAATTTTGGGCTAAGTGTTGAATTTATCCAACCCAAGTATGAAATAGTAATTGTCACGGGGCACAAACTTCACACCAATACGTGAATCAGCAATTACAGTAAAATAAACACTTCCCCTTGGTGTTGACACTCCTTATGAATTATCACTTCTGGACACAACACCCAACAACCCAACACCCCCACAAAGTCACGAATTACGCAGCAGGAAGCTTCACGTAAGAGATTCCATCCACAGTAGACTACAACATTCCTACCGTGAAGCTTCCCAGGAACTCTCTTTAAAGATCTAATTGATACTGAAGCCACACAGCATAAGAAGTTCACGAAAAATCACTCCTCTCCCCAGTGTCACATGTAAGTACTAATGAAGGCAACATTTTGAGTCTTGTTAACAACGATGACGTGATTTTTTGTTGATGATTACTAATATGTAATCTGGTATGTAAAAATAGGAATATGGCAAGTCTTCGTGGATACCTTGATCATAATCGTTGAGTGTACAGTTTAATTACTCTTGGTATACAATGAAGAGTATATCTACCCCAGTGTTGGTCACTATATAATATGTTATTAAACAATTACATCTAAAACACTTGCTGATAACAGTTACAGGCAATGGGAATGATGCAATGAGATTTAAGGATGGGTTATAAAGGAGAAATATCAGGACACGTGAAAGCTGAAGCAGACGAGACACTCACTATATGGTGGTGGCTCTACGTAGTGTCTTGGGGCACAAAATCAATTAGACGAGTCCCAGTACATTAAAGCGAATACGATAATGAAAAAATCGAACTCTAATCACCTTATAATTTCCAAGCTAAGCATATTTAATAGTACCACTAGCCCTTAGGTATATAATAGTAAATAATAGTATCATTACAGCGCTCGCTCTTCAGTACAGATTAATGTCTCGCCAGTGGATAAAGATGGGAATAAACAGACGTGACACTGTCCTGAATTCATGAAGGAAATATATACGAGATACATATAATAAGCTGATGACAGAGACGAAATGAGGAGAGTTAAGTTTATACCTGAACTAACTACTGGGAAAATGGTGATAACTGCAACGGAAGACAAGAATATCCAGGAAATGCTCATCCGAGACAAGCGACAAGGAGACAGAACTATATGACTGTCTAATGTTAATCACTGAATACATGACATGGATGGTATGACAACTAGCAAATAGTTAACGATATTCCCATAAGTCTTTAAACTACTGTATACTTGGCATATTAACACACACACACACACACACACACACACACACACACACACACACACACACACACACACACACACACACACACACACACACACACACACACACACACACACGGTATACACTAATGGTACACTCAGTCATAATATTCAAGGTAGGCGAAGCAGAAGGTAAGTATGGACGGTGTCCGGTCGTTGCTGAATTTTTATCACTACAGTTCTATACTGTTGAGAAGGTACAAAGGTTCTATATACAAAAAGAAGATAATCTAAGGTTAATACTGGGAAGAGTAAATGAGAGAGAGAGAGAGAGAGAGAGAGAGAGAGAGAGAGAGAGAGAGAGAGAGAGAATTTACGATGCCTGATAAAGTTTGAATAAATTTTGATGATCCGTCATATAAGAACGAAATGTGAAGTCCTGTTGGGTGTGAAGGAATCAAAACTATTTAGGATCGGCACAATTGAGAGGGCAATTGGAGAGAGCGGCACAAGGGACGAAGATGACTGGATCTCTGGATTGTGAAAGTGAAAAATGTAACCATGCATGTAAGGAAAGGACGGAGAGATAGCCAAGTCTTTCCGAACCTGACACACGGGAATGGACATGGAATGGAACGAGAAAAAATGTAGGCTGGCGAAATGAGTTATTGGAGGCACGTGCTACCGCTAGATGAAAGGGAGCGAGCAACAGTGACTTATATCTGAAGGATGAGATGAAAGAAAAAGACCTGAGATACTGTACAAGGTGTCTGCCTCACCTCACTGAGTGGGTTGGAAGACATAACCCTGAGGTGGGTTGGTCGTGGGGAGAGAGGATGATGGAGGAGTGTTGTAAAGGGGCTAAAGAGCAGCCAGTTTTCCCGGAAACAAAAAGTGGAGTACACAAGGGAAAGTCGCAGCATGCGGCCGTGAGGGGAATATATTAGGCATGGACGACACGTGTACAGAGGACGGGATGGAAGGTTTTTTCTTCCTGCAGTTACCCCACACAAAGGGGGGCGGGGAGCTCCACGGAGAACAACGAATCATTTCTCTCTCGTATGTGTGTTGAGAGGGGGAGGGGAGGGTGGGAGAGATGCCTTCGGCCATGGTACGGATTTAGACTTGCCTCACTCAGGCCCGAGGTTAGTTTATTGGGCACCCCCCTTGCATCCTGTGCATGACGAGCGCAAAATAATTACAGTCGCTCAGGCAGGAAAGCATACGGTGTTCATGTTTGCCCTATATACTACAGGCCATGGAACAGAAAATACTGCGTTGTTCCGCCCGCGAGCAGCAAGGTTATTAAGCAGTGGTACAGTAGCTCTTGTTAGATTCGGGGGTGAGACCACAACAGAAAAAAAAAAATAAAAAATAAAAAATAAAACCCCGGATGACGCTTCTCGCCAGGCAGGAGTACCCTCAACGGACAGTGGTGGATCTGGATACATAATATTTGAGGTCATCTCACTACGCATCTTAAAAAAAATAATATTAATAAACGAGATTCAACTGACCATCCTGCTACTTTCAACGAAATGATCAAGTGTGTTTTATTATGCTTCTGCTGCGTATATGTGGACAGCCATGACTCGCATCTATCCTCTTCTCCGACCCAGGTTCGTTAACAACAATTACATATATATATTACCCAGTGAAGGGCAATACAATTTCGTAGCAGGCTTCTTTAATTGTACCATTAACTAACCAAACTAGAATTTAAAATTGTCTTACGGTTTTTTTTTATCCTACCAAGACCTCTTCCCATCAGTTACCCTACAAAACAAATACTTGTTTTCCTACAATATTCTTCACATCTCTTCATATTTTTCATTCATTTCCAATTTGTAAAGTAGAACATTATTAACTAAATATCAATCTTGCTCTTTTTCGGTTTTCAGTATCCACAAGGTATTTATGTTCACCTCAAACTATTATAACACCCACTCCTCTACTCTACTCATATACCTGTACAGTATATATGTAGACCAGCGAGGAAACAACGCGAGTTAAGCCTAAATTAACACTTCTATACAACATAATATCCACATGTTTATAACGAGCCAAGACGTATATATATATATATAAAACTCTGTTCAGCAGCGGGAATGCCGACTCACCCACCACTGCTTAATGACCAACGTATGTACAGTATACAATTACATCCATCCTCGTAATCACTCGCCGCTCAGCACTACGCCCTCATCTAGTTCTCCATCATCCGAATTGTCACCTTCTGGAGTCCGGGAGTAACGTGTCTATTAACCATTTCAGCTCAGTACTCCAGTAAGCAGTACAGTATTTAATACACGCTAACATTTCAAAATACCTTTACTGTCTGAAATAATCTGAATACGCTCGGACATTAACACACACACAAGCAAACTTAAATACTTCTTAATAGCTCTACTGTGTGTGTGCGCGTGCTGGGAAGGGGGAGAAAAACATTTACAGTAAATGTTTTTGGTGTTCCACATTAGCCTCTAGCAACATGAGTACAACAACTTTCATCGTTATTACCCGGTTTGTTTACACTGGGCCCTTGCTTACCCCAGAACCCTCAGTCATCTTCTAGTTATTCCCCGAGTAATAAAAGTCACCACCTATTTACTTACTCCATAAAGAGAAAGTCGACTATATTTTGCTTCAGTTTTTTTTTTATAAATTAATGATCCTCTAACTGCGTCTATAATACTAACGAATTGCAATTTCTTGTCGTTTGATAACCTAAAGCGTCTCTTGTTACCTGCACCACTAGTTCCTACCAAGAAATTTTCTAATAAACTTTAATAAATTTTCTATCCTCGATGATTGATTCCAGGGCAACAAAAATTCAAAGCAAACAAAAATTATTAATATAATATCAATTTAAATAACATTATAATTTAATCGCCCATGAGAAGTCTTCAGATCATCTTATTACTCTAACCCAACCCAACCCAACCCAACCCAACCCAACCCAACCCAACCCAACCCAACCCAACCTAACCTCACCACTTAACCTCACCTAACCTAACCTATCATAAGTATTACTAATTAAGATGTTGTCTTTTGTACAATATTTTTACACCCAAGTTTGTTATGCCTTCACTGAGAGGATTATTCCTACAATGATCATCTCTATAATGTTATGATTACGTTTAGATTATGCTTATGCTTGTATTAGTATTTTGATTTATTTCAACACAGTCATTATTTCCAGTGTGTTAGGCCTATAGACGTCAACACTGTGATGTCATATGTTTACATCGTTAGGCCTACAGTATGTCTACACTGTTTGGCCTATGACTAATACTGTTAGGGTTATATAATTATACACTGTTATGGTCATATTTATACTGTTAGGTCTATGGCTATACTGATGGAATCGTGTCTACACAGTTGGGGCTATGTCTACACTGTTAGGCCTATGTCTACATTATTATATGCTTATGTTTGTATAATGATGAACAGTAAACATTTAGATAAAAAATTAAAAAATTATATATTAAGTGATTCACTATAACAGATTCAGTGTAATTTTGTCGCCTAACCCGAAATTATTCCAGTAAATGTTGATATTCTGACTCGATAAATAAATAACAATCACATTAGCTGACTTTCACTCCAGGTACAAGAATAAGGAAGTATATTTTGGACTCAAGTATCTTTACGGTTATACCATTTCTCTTTGAGGATTCACGACTAGCAATATCACAGCTTTTTAAAAGATCAATAAATCTGGAGACAGAGAATAAACCAGAGAATTTCCCATCCAGAACTCGGTAGACAATGCATGGGAGTAAAACATTAATGTCGAGCAATTCAACTCTCACTACGTTAAGCTACCACACAACGTGAAAACCCCAGCGTCGTGTTAGGGTCATAAAATATACCTCTAAAATGTTAGAATATTCTACCGTTCTACCACCGTGGCGGAAGGGGGGGAGGGGGATGTTGGCGTCAGTGGTAAGATACATAAAAATATCCCACGTGACTGTAAAATATACAGTTGAGGATGTTTAAGTTACGCTAGACCGACGTAGGAAAATTATTGAAATTCCAGGCGCGTGGGTTTCTACATCATGCAATGGGAGACTAAGGCCTCAGGTCGTGTTTTGTTGTGATATGAATATTAAAAATTCAAGTCAGATGGGCAGAACGGGTGTTGCGCAGCATGTGATAAAATCAAACCGTGAAGGGAGTGAAATGGAGAGAGTGAGGACATGTAACAGGTAGGGACTAATAAATGCAAGTGACGCGGCGCTTCTTCGTAAACCTGCAAAGTGACGGCGTACATTGCTTAAACGCAACCCGGCTGGCAGGTAAAAGATGAAAACTTAGATTGCATTCGGAGACAGTCCTCGTCGTCATCCTTGAAAAAAATTAAACAATGTTTCTGAATAGAGTGAAACTACGTAATTTTCACCACTTTCACCTATTTTTGTGTTAAAACTATTTCACCACATGGAGAAAGACAGTGTGAGCCATTGTTGGACGGCGTGAATGTTTAACCAGAACAGAACATAAACGCCTTTTTTTTTTGCCCATCAGTCGATACTCAACCTGAACTCAAAATATATTAAGGAACAAATGAAGATGACGAGGGAACCACAGTATCATGACTTGGACTCTCTTTCATGGCAAGAAAATAACTTCATCAACACACTAGGTACTGAGAGCTGCTGACCTAACATATTACATACAGGGATCAAGAACCTAGTTTAATGTGTACTTTAAAACATTAATTAAGGAAAGAAGATATAATGATTTATCAGTTCATCTATCCCAATACGAAACTTTTAAAATAATAATATTAAAACAGAACTATAGGTATAATCCTCCATATGAACTTATATAATTTAACTTACTTTCAATGCTGGACAATATTTAAGTTTTTTTTTTTAATAATCACATTAATAAACTGGATGCCTAAACTGAATTACATCGTGGTAACAGTAATCAAAGCTAGAGAAAATGTATGAACGCTTTAAAATAACAACACACACACACACACACACACACACACACACACACACACACACACACACACACACACACACACACACACACACACACACACACACACACACACACACACACACACACACACACACACACACACACACACGTTCTACTACTCAAACTCCACAATGCAACTCTCAAACATTATTAACACGTACGATAATCTCAAATAAAACTAGAATTCTTGCTCCTCACAATGGATCATAATCCCTAACAGAGACATTATATTTTAAGAAACCTGTTTTTATATATAGACTTAATACCACCAAACTTTTTTATTAATCACTGAAGACTCGTATATAAAAAAAACCCATATATATACTGACTTTTACATCAACAGTAATAACCTCATGGCTATTCAAATATATTAAACTACATCAGCTGAGGTTTTTCTTTCGTATTGGACTAAAATTAAACCATCGGACAATAATTAAACCTCCGTTCTCCAATTCATAAGCCATCATTGCATTAAAAAAAACCGTCCAACATCCTTAAAAATACCTGGAGGAGAAAAAATTAAAATTCAGACGCTGGATAAGTTCAGGTGGCTGGCAGGTGCAGGGGACCGGCAGGTGCAGGAGGCTGGGTAGTTTCATGTCAGTCGAAATTGTCGAGTTTCATTGACAAATATTTATAGCTATGAATCGTAATAAAGTAGCCATAAAACGTACAAAATAGCTATGAATCGTAATAAAACGGTATATGATCGCGAGTACTATTTCCTTAGCGGTCTCTTGCCAAATACATCTTGCAGTATCTTGCTATAAGCTTGCATTATCTTGTATATATAACGCTTGTAGTGGTTAGGGAGAGGCAATTAGCCGTTTTACCATAGTTATTTTATGTCTCCCGTTATACATTATATTTCTTTAGTTATATACTGCTTATAGAACCTACTGTAGTCTCTATACTCTATAATGTCTATGTACTATCACTGCCCTATTATAGATTAGAGGTGACTGCTATATAACGCGTGGTTTGTTATATAATTCATGGCCTGATATATTAATGTGAGTGGCCTGTTATATTACGCATGGCCTGCTGTATGACGCATGGCCTGCTATATCATCCATGGCCTGTTAATATTACCCATGGCCTGCTAATATTACCGATGGCCTGCTAATATTACCCATGGCCTGCTAATACTACCCATTACTTGCTATAATACCCATGACCTATATAACCCGTAACCTGCTATATTACCCATGGCCTGCTATATTACCCATGACCTGCTACAATACCCAAGACCTGCTATAATACCCATGACCTATATTACTCATATCCTATATAACCCATGACCTATATTACCCATGACCTATATTACCCATGACCTATATTACCCATGACCTGCTATACTAATTCCTCTTGTCGTATTTACATATATTAGACTATTTAAATTTTCATGGACGAGCCCCGATTTAATTATGTAACGAACACTTCTTAAACATGCATCATCCTCATCTAGCGTCAAAAAAAAGTCGTGTTCGAGTTATATATTTCATCTATGTAATCTTGTGCACATTAGACAAAACAATAAGAAAAATTAAATCATGCGGAATAAAATCCTAATACAAAGTCATGTTGGTTACTCGAGATACTGTGCTTCAATAGTTAATGTGTTTTAGGATGTGCAATAAACACGAACTTAAAATTCGGTGAAAATAAACCAAGCTTTTTATTCACTCAAATTTATCCCAATTTCAGAAAGAATAATCGGGTTTTTTCCTATCGAGTTCCCTCATGGTATAATAAATAATAATAAAAATTAATAAATCTAATCTTTTTCAACTAATCATAAACAAATTTTAGGCACGTACAGATGTCATTAATGTGAAACAAATATTAACAAAGTAGCAGAATAACCTAAAGCAATATATATATTTTTTTTTAATTGTTGATGGTCGAGTGTAATTATTAACCTTGTTACGCGCCGAAGAACTAAGATGTTGAAGGGCAGTAATAACTTAATAACGTCGACGGAACAAGGTGTCGACTTTCAGCTTGTCTTGTGTGCAAAAGTTTCAGAGAACAAGTTATTCCATGGGAAACACAAAACATATTGAAATATATACAAAATCCTTAATTTACGTTATGTAGTTGAAGCACTTTTGTTGGGTTACGTTAACTAAAAAAAATAAACTTACCTACAGCATTTCACTTAGCCATTATCATATATTACCAGTGTACTTAATAAGCACACGTTAATACACATATATGCTCACCACCATACTAGGAGACCACAACAACACTTTTATTTACGGATTAAAATTGTGATAACTTCTCTACCCTTGAAGAATGAGGACACTTGGTTTGCGTACGCCATAGGGGAGGAAGGGAGGGGGAGAGGAAGAGGGGGGGAGAAGGGGGAGAAGGGTCGTAACGCAGAGGAGAGGATGACGAGGAAGAGGGAGAGTGGGAAGTATATAAGGCGCCAGACACCAGGTACAAACATCTCACTCCACCATGAAGCTCCTGGTAAGTCCTGCTTCCCTCACTCTAGTTTTGTGTTGCTGGTTTTACATCTATGGTTTGTACGTAGGTGTTTCATATGATTAATAGTCACCCATGTTGGAGAAAGCTTCATTCCTGTACCAATTATATGATTTAATTCAGTCTAGCGGTCATAAGATTTATTATTAAAATACGTCCAACTTTCTCATAGCAAGAAGATGCATTGATAAAGTTATAATTTTACCCCAGTGTTTTCTCTATAAATTATATTCCCAGATATTAATGAATTTGCGTAAAAATTTAGAGTATTGTATTACTTCGATAAAATTAATTGAGGCACTAAAAGATTATAATGTAATGGCAATTCTTCCTTGTGTGATCATTTTTTTTATTTACTTAATTATGAGACAAGATATATTTTTCCCTCCAAACTAAATTCTCGTTTTTTTTCATTGTAATTTTGTTGCACTGCTTTACCTTTCTACATGATTTATAATACATTGTACTTAAAATGGGTTAAGACTTCGTACTCAAGAAGTTAATTCATTATATTCAATATGATAATGTCTTGTATTCGGGTGCTGGCAAAATCTTTGTACTCTGGGGTAAAAATATCGTATTCAATGGGACAATTTATGTACTCTGGAAGTTGTCGTAATCAAGTGGTTAAGTCATCTTACTCAATGGGTTAAGTCATCTTACTCAATGGGTTAAGTCATCTTACACAAGGGGTTAAGTACTACTTAAAATGGGTTAAGTCGTACTCTTACTCAAATTCGGGTGCTAAGCCGCCAATTTATGTACTCTGGAAGTTGTCGTAATCAAGTGGTTAAGTCATCTTACTCAATGGGTTAAGTCATCTTACTCAATGGGTTAAGTCATCTTACTCAAGGGGTTATGTCATGTTACTCAAAGGGTTAAGTCGCCTTACTCAAGGGGTTAAGTCATCTTACTCAAGGGGTTAAGTCATCTTACTCAAAGGGTTAAGCCGCCTTACTCAAGGGGTTAAGTCATCTTACTCAAGGGGTTAAGTCATCTTACTCAAAGGGTTAAGTCATCTTACTCAAGGGGTTAAGTCGCCTTACTCAAAGGGTTAAGTCGCCTTACTCAAGGGGTTAAGTCGCCTTACTCAAGGGGTTAAGTCATCTTACTCAAGGGGTTAAGTCATCTTACTCAAAGGGTTAAGTCATCTTACTCAAGGGGTTAAGTCGCCTTACTCAAAGGGTTAAGTCGCCTTACTCAAGGGGTTAAGTCGCCTTACTCAAGGGGTTAAGTCGCCTTACTCAAGGGGTTAAATCATCTTACTCCAAGGGTTAAGTCATCTTACTCAAGGGGTTAAGTCATCTACTCAAGGGTTAAGTACTCAGGGTTAAGTCGCCTTACTCAGGGGTTAAGTCATCTTACTCAAGGGTTAAGTCATCTTACTCTCGCCTTAAGGGGTTAAGTCAAAGGGTTAGGTCAAGGGGTTAAGTCCTTACTCAAGGGGTTAAGTCATCTTACTCAAGGGTTAAGTCATCTTACTCAAGGGGTTAAGTCATCTTACTCAAAGGGTTAAGTCATCTTACTCAGGGGTTAAGTCACTCAAGGGGTTAAGTCATCTTACTCAAGGGGTTAAGTCATCTTACTCAGGGGTTAAGTCATCTTACTCTTAAGTCATCTTACTCAAGGGGTTAAGTCATCTTACTCAAAGGGTTAAGTCATCTTACTCAAGGGGTTAAGTCGCCTTACTCAAAGGGTTAAGTCGCCTTACTCAAGGGGTTAAGTCGCCTTACTCAAGGGGTTAAGTCATCTTACTCAAGGGGTTAAGTCATCTTACTCAAAGGGTTAAGTCATCTTACTCAAGGGGTTAAGTCGCCTTACTCAAAGGGTTAAGTCGCCTTACTCAAGGGGTTAAGTCGCCTTACTCAAGGGGTTAAGTCGCCTTACTCAAGGGGTTAAGTCATCTTACTCAAGGGGTTAAGTCATCTTACTCAAAGGGTTAAGTCGCCTTACTCAAGGGGTTAAGTCATCTTACTCAAGGGGTTAAGTCATCTTACTCAAGGGATTAAGTCGCCTTACTCAAGGGGTTAAGTCATCTTACTCAAGGGGTTAAATTCTCATACACAGAACTCATAACGAAACAAAACTCATCAGCTTACTTACTCTGAAACGACTTACAGTCAGACAACTTCTATAGTTAAGTCCGGTGTCTCGGAGATTACCCGAGTCATACTGCTAGTGACTTAGCGATCTTTTAATCCCTTTTCACATGTTGCAAAGGAACTTCCACGTCTTCCACGTCTCATACCAACATCACTCACTTTGTAAATACCGAAGTAAACTATCAGGTTACTGTACGTGCTTCTCTCATTCAATATTAATGCACCTGATTCACGCGTATGCAATTCCTAACATTGTGTTATTACTTAAATAGTAGATAGACCATTTTTCTGACAAACTCTTAGTCAACTCTAAAGATTTTGTATATCATGATTGTTTATTTGGTGTTTCAGGTTTTCGTCTCGATACTTGTGGCAGCAGCGTCCGCTGCGCTCCAATCCTACAACCTGCCTACGCAATCTGAAGCTACGCAATCTATACCTACGCAATCTGAATCTACCCCGTTAAACGGTGGGTGCAAAGAGGGCGAAGTTCTTAATGTATTCGGTTCATGTGTCGTCCCTACCGTCTCTCGCCAAGTGTTCTTATTCACAATCCCCGAACAGCCTGAGTCTTATGGTCCATCCCCAGAAATCCCTCCACCCAGGGTTGAACACAACATCTTATTCATCCGCACTCCTGAAGGAGGCCAGGGACCTGAGCCCATCATCGTGCCGCCGCCCAGGCAGCAACACGTAGTGTACGTCCTCAACAAACAGTCAGACCAGAGTCAGCGAGTCATCGAGGTTCCTGCTCCACCGTCCGAGAACCCTGAGGTGTACTTCGTCAACTATGGTGAAGGAGATAACCCGACCCTGCCTGGTGGTATAGACTTCCAGACCGCCCTCAACTCAGCAATCCAAGGTGATGGTCAGGTCATCGCCGGGGCTGGAGGACTTTCTGATAACAATGGCGGTACTTTTAATGGTAACAGAAACGGTCAAGGATTTGTCAGCAATGGTGAAAGTGCTGAAGATTATAGCAGCGCTGGAGGTAATACTGGTTTTATAGATAACTCTGAAAGAAATCACGCGGTGGAAGTCAGTTTTGGAGGCAATAATGGATTTCAAGGCGTTGTAGTGGACACCGATAACTCTGGGAATAGTGATTTAGTAAACAACAACAACTTCGTAAACAACGGTGCACCTGATGGTAATAAGTACAGCGGCTTCTCTGACTTTAATGTTGATTTCCAAGTCGAAGGTGGACTTGAGAGTCAAAGTCATGATGACAACCATAATAATGGAAATGGTGGACGTGACGTGAACACCGGCGGTACTGGCGCGATTAAACTCATCGCTGGAGATTCCATTACTAACACAGGAAGCAATGGGGTTACTAATAATAATGGAGCTAATGGCTTTGAAATCACCGTTGGAGCTGCTAACGGTCATGTTCAGAATGTAGGAAGAAATGGATTTGCACTGAACTTCATAGGTGAGAGTAATCTAGGTGTTGGTGGTGTTGCTGGTCTAGGAGTCACCAGTGAATCCGTGTCGACTGGAGGAAGTGTTGGCTATGGTGACAACACCGCGAGTAACGGGCTGGTTGTTTACAATGGAGTCAATGAAAATAATGGTTACAATGGAGTCAGTGGACTTGGCAGTAGTGGAATCAATGGACTTAATGGCAACAATGGAGTCAATGGACTTAACAGCAATGGAGTCACTGGACTTGGAAACAATGGAGTCAATGGACTTAGTGGTAACAATGGAATCAATGGACTTGGAAACAATGGAGTCAATGGACTTAGTGGTAACAATGGAATCAATGGACATAACGATTACAATGGAAACGGTGGCCTCATCGGACTTAACAGAAATGGTGCTAACATCAGTCCCAACGGTGGTAGTGTTAACATCAATGGTGGTCACACTAGACCTATTGGATTCAGCAGTAACACCCAAACTAACACATTCGCCGGTAACACCAACCTCAATGGAAGCAACAATGGTGCTACTGGTACTGGTGCTACTGGTGCTGATGCTACTGGTGCTAGAGGTACTGTTACTAACACTATCGTCAAGGCAAACTTTGGTGTCAGCTTAGCAGCCTCGGGCACCCAGGGCGACGACACTTTAACTCCTTCCTCCAACAATATCCGAACACCGTCAGGTTTTTACTCCACGCCTTAGGACACCCCCACCCTCGCCTCCTCCAAGCAACGACGATTCTTTATTATATCTTTCATTACTTCCGCTCAAACTGTCTTAATTTTCATCCCTCCAAGTAACGAGGAACCATTATTAAAATTGTGACCTCAAATTACTAATGCTCAACTGTTTGTATCATCAGGAATATAGTTTGTTTTAGTGTTTGAGTCGTTCCTTTAGTTAGGAACACATGATTTTTTAACAGACTTGAATGTTGTGGTCTTGTTTTACTGTCAAATGAGAAAAATCATGTTTAGATTTTTTTTAAATAAAGTTTATTTTTAGCATTATCTGTAAGACTTTATTTTCCTTCCATTAACTGAGGTAAATTATAATTACGGTGAACAATGAGTACGATAGTTACTATACGGTCCATGGTTCACAGCATAATATCTCGCGTGTTGCATTAAATATTTAGGAAACACCACCCAAGGATTCAATACGGAGAAGTAAAGAAAAGATCAACAAATGGTTATATTCAAGTGTTCCTAAAAATAAGGACATGCGTGTATCTGTGTATATTGAGCGTTGCTGTATTGTGTGCAAGTTGTTCAATGTCATATTTCGGTAATCCCTCACTAGATTGATTTTGTACTTGGAAATTAACATCATTACCCACTGTAGGGCAACTTTGTTATTTTCACACAATAGTTGTTAAAGACAGGATATTTTTTTATTTACAAGTTTAAAAAAAAAACGCACCCAAATTTTTGTAAGTTCCACTAGCTTAAGGCGTTGTTGAGGTTTGTAAACAAATCGTATAACATATGGGGCAGCACCACCACTAAACATATAGTGTACTGTTATACACAATCAATACATAACTGATCATACAACCATCTACACTTTCTTAAACTTTATACCGAATAAAAGAAAGTGATCGTTTGTCTTGTCCATTTATTGAACATCTTCCCAAATTCCATAAAAAAAAGATGAACTGTACCTGTACATTTTATTTTACACGAGGTCTGTGACGACGTTGCCACCGCTACTAAGGACCACCGTTAACCCAGCTCAAGGTAACCCAATCAATGGAAAGTAATCATGAAATACCAAATGTACAACACAGGTCCCAGAATATAACGGATATAGAAACTAATATCACTTGTTCAGACACAATTATACAAGTACAAGAATTTATTTAATTTATTCTTAAACACAAAGGTGGTTCATTAGGCTATACAAAATCCAGGAATTATCTGTTTCTTAAAATATCTTACAATTATATCGTTCGCTGACGCATGATTAAGGAGACGCAGCTTAACCCCACCATGACCATCCATCGGTCGTCAAGAATTAATGTACCGTGGCCATCAGCCCTTAGCGCAGGATACCCGATGCTTAATGACCGTAGAGCGTAAGCGTGGTAATCCATCACTCAGCCAGAAAGTATTGTAAACTTTATCAATTAACGCATCAGGATGTGTGTTGAAAATTTTGGAATATTAAATACGATCCAATAAGAAATAGTATTCACAAGAGCATATAAATATGATGGGTCATTAATTATCCTGGTTTGTGGACATAATCTGCAGTCTTCCAGAAGGTGTAATATGGTACAGTGTGATGATCATTTATGACAATTGGCAAAAAAATTAATTCAAAATCTGGAGTAAAGTTCTTTTCCGATGGCTATTTATATTGAGAGCGTACATCAACCAATGATTTGCCAGAATTTATTAAACAAAACTTATAATCATCTTGGAGGAATCAATAAATTCTAATCTCATACTTCCATTAAATGCATCGATTATAATTAATACCTCCTGCTTTCGCTGCTTTCGTATAAAGGTACCAGTGAAACTAGTGTAGTCTGTACAGGCATCTTAGGAATGAAGATAAGCACTAATTTCTCTCATTACGGAACTATAACTAAGGCAGTCTTTGTTCCTCACAGGGCTTCCACTTTCTCCATGTTTCACCCTCCCCTTTGTCTTTGACCACAATTCATTCTCTAGACTCGCAGAAGGGGGGAGGGAAGGGGGTTACCTACACCTTTTAATAGCGTCTCCCAGTCGTACACTAATTATTGTTCATCAGTTTTGACATTTCTACTAATCAACATTAAAAATTGTATTCCCTTTATAAGGACAGGTAAGCCGCCAAGGTCCCCATAGTGGTCCTAACGCAGCATTATGTCAGAGATCAGGTCTGATGTATTGTACTTTGATCCTAGCTTTTCTGCCCTATTTTAGACTAATATTTTTGTGTTATTTTCACAGATCCTATAAAACTATCTTCTTAAACTGACTTTACTGAAAATACAACTACAGTTGAAGGTTTTTGATAACAGAGGGTCTAATGAGATTGTTATTACCTGCATATGTTCATTCGATATTACTCACACAACTGCCAAATCTTGATCAACAGGCTACCAAAACGAAAGTACTGTACCAAGAAGTGCATGTCATTATAAAACTACGTGACCACTTATTCTATTTTTTCTTGCATAAATAGGAAAAGCAAAAGTAATCCAATAATTGGAAGTGTTACAGTACCGTACTTATCTTAATTATCTTATCACACAGCTAAGTGATTATGTATACAATAATATCTTGCATCTGCGACAAGTACATCGAAATTTTAGTGAATGAAAAGGTTAATAACAGTCAGAGCTTTATATCCTTGTACAAGTTTAAAATCCTGTTAATATCCACAGTTGCATTATGTTCTCTTGCAAGCTTCTCGATAACTGTCACCATACTACATTATTCACAAACATAAGTACAAGTGAAGCCCTTACGGTCAGATGCTAACTTTGACCATTGGCCTAATTTTGTGGGACACATGTCTAGGACTATGACCCACTATCGAGAAAGCTATGCTACGTTCAGATGCACAGAGCGAGTGGAAGGGATTCACTAAAGGACTCACAAAATGGTTGGGATTTCCACAATGCAGTACATTATCTTCCGAAACAAGTAGAGAAAAATGCCCTTCACTAGAGAAATTCGATTTTCCACAACGAAAACAAACACATTCGTTATCAGGATTGTACGTTAAAATGGCAGTGTCATTCTGTGTGTGTGTGTGTGTGTGTGTGTGTGTCTGTGTCTGTGTGTCTGTGTCTGTGTGTGTGTGTGTGTGTGTACTCGTATATATAACCATTTTGCTTACTTTCTTTTTCACTCAGCTGTCATTACTTAAGGATGGTGTTAGACTTCTGGGTACACGTTAAGATCACGAAAATCCAAAACCAACATTTGGACTGAGCGGCGTGATCAGCCATTCATTATTTAATATAGTCGACTTCTTCATATGAATAAACAATGCACTATTAAATATCACTGTTAAAGTACAGTTGTTTGAAGGTAATCAAGTCATAATATCTACCTACCAGTATACATGAAATACAATTGTTAAATATTAGCATGAGTAGTAAGAGCAGTGATGAATTCCGGGAATCAGGAACTCAAAAGAGAACACAGTTTCTTGTTCGACAGACCTCCACTATCATTACCCAACAACTAAATTCAAGTGACCAACTAAACATTCAGTACTTTTTAGGGAGTTGAATAATACTAAAATGGGGTTTTAAACGAACACTATCGATTATCTATCATTTACTCAGTTTTATAATAAACCGTGAGGTAAATGCGTAATTCTCTTGATGTAAAGTAAGGAAGGTGTTGGGATTTACTAACCCCAAAAGAATTGCAGCAACTGATGGAAGGAGAAACCAAAGAAACCTTACCGTCACGCAGTTGTAGATCAAGTATTAACTGGCTTGTCATTCATCCAGCAGTGTCCGTGAGTTGTAAGTCTGTCACACGTCCCTGCGAAATATTGGATTTAATAACAACCGATATGCTACGAGCATCAGCATATTAATTATATTGAATAAAATGTGATAAAATATACAACGAAGTCACGCGACCCCCTGACGGAGACACGATGATCCTCCCCATACTGGCCAGATATTATGTAAATAACATTGATTATGTGTTAAAGGAATATCCTTCCTTCCTTAGGCTTTAGTAAGCCCCTTTATAATATTTATACTGTATATACTTGTCACACTTGCCAGATGCTTCTGGTGTCATTGTACAGGAGTACCTAGTGACAGCACTAGGATCCCGCTTCCTCTATCAAGGAATAAACAATTGAAATTGAAATTGAATTGAACGAAGTCACCATTGTTAGCAGGTGAATCACACGCGTCAAAATGATGGTCGGTTTACTTGTCAAACATTTCTTTATAAAAGCTCTTTGTATTTCCTACTGCTTTAAGATTATTTTTGTCCCATACAGATTGTGTGTACGTGTTTATAATATAATCTATGTATCCATGTGTGTGTGTGTGTGTGTGTGTGTGTGTGTGTGTGTGTACATGCGTGTATGTCTGGTACGTTTCATCTATGGACACAAAATATATATGAAAATTTTAAATAATTAGCTTTGTAATTTTGTGACTAGTGGCATCTTCTCGAGAATTTACCAAAAGTTATAAACACCGAAATAAAATAATTCTAATCTTATCGTTTAAATATTTTAGTATATATTGCCTTTATTAGTAAGATATAAAATAAAATACTAATTTGGAGACAAGTTTTCACTTCGTCACGTCTCGCAAAAAAAAAACCCATCCCAATATCAATATAACTCTTACCAGTATTTACACTGTCTGACGGGGAAAATGGACTGATTTGGGAGAACATTGGAGGGGCGAAGGGAGAGTGCTGACGTGGGAAAACCAGCAGGTAACAGGTATATAAAGAGGCTGAAAACTGGAGTAGACATCACACTCCACCATGAAGCTCCTGGTGAGTCTTGCTGCCCTCACCTTTCGGCTCTAAGCCATTCGTGATTGATAACCAGGTACTCAGGCTTAAACCACAAGATTCCAACGACATTAAACGTTAAGCACTAAACACAGGATATTAGAGCAGAAAATGAGTCCTTTCCCTGGCATACTGTAGCGGCAGATTCCAGCCACAACTTAAACTATAATTTGATCAAGTTAAGTACAGCCAATGAAAGCCTTCCTCTCAAATATAATCACCTCTCGACACTGGTTAATAAATATAATTCTTAAGAGAGAGAGTTCAAGGTCGCTTAACCGGGCCAAAAAAAAAAGTTAAGTTTTGTACATCTAGATTTTCCGCATGTTTCAATTGTTTATATAACGCAAAGTAAAAAAAAAACTAAAATATCTTGTCTAATTTACTTCGTCATGGAGACTCGTTGTTTACCTTCACACGTATTCCGGCCAACCGGTTATATCCACCTGTACAAGGTTACGATGACCGACACGACCGCTCAACTGACGAGTACGCTCACAATGACTTTG